AGATGAGGGCGGAGCCTGAGAAAAGAACGCACCCTTCCAGGTCTCACTCCCAGTGACCCATCTCCAGCCAGGCCCCACCTCGGAACAAGACTTTTAGCTACAGAACTCAGTGGAGCTGAGTATGGCGTGCCCACAATCCATTCATCTTCCAAAAGCCCCACCTCAAAAAACCCTGAGGCTTTGGGGGGATGTTCTAAATCTAAATCATGACAAATAGTATAAGCCACGTTTCAATTCCAAGAAATTCAAGATTTGAGGGAGGTAGTGAGCGCAGGGTGGTTAATCGCATTCAATGCTGTTACTGTGCAGGCTGCTTCCAGGATGCACCCACTTCCTGCTGGGTTTCAAGTTCAAGACAATCCTGTCCACATGACCCTCTTCTGGAAATCAGCTGCTTAACACCTGCAAGAGCCTTCTGAAACACTGAGTCTCTGGAATAAGTGTTTCCGACATTCATTCCTTTCTCTAGATATGACACAATTATCCTCCATAAAAAATAATCATCTAATAGGCTTAGTGTCTTGTTGAGTTGTCAGAATTTAAAGAAAAGGCAAAGGAACAGTAGGCGTATTGCTTAGGAGTGGAATACAATCTCAAATTCAAAGTAAGTCTTCGTGGTGTTTAGTCAGTGTGATGAGCATTTCACAGCGGCTCCTATTCTGGCATGTTGTATAGTTCTTATAGAAGATTTATTAATTCTGTTGTATCTACAAGAGATAGTGTCCACTGTGAGTAACAGCACAATTTATTCATCATCCCTAGCAAGCTAGCACAACTGTTTCCAACTAGCCTATGAAACACAGGCCTGAGGATAGAAACTTAGCCCAATTTTTACTGAAATAATCATCTTACCTCCCATTAGACATTCTCTCCCTTTTCGTACAATGTTAACAGGAGAAAATCATCTAACTGAGAACCACTGTTTTTCAGAAACCCCCTGACAGCCATCATAAAGGGGTCCTAAAGGGCCTATGAAAGGAGAAGTGTGTTTCAGTGGATGAGTCAGGCAGACCAACTACCGTGGAGAGCGCTTTGCCTGAGGGGAACCCAAAGAGGAAAGTTGTAGTTCTGTAATTTTGTGCCAGGCAGCACAAAGATAAATTCCTATTTTTCCAATCTAAGGATGTATTATAGCCTGGAAAGATATAATTCAAACTTCTGAAAGCAGCAGTGATAAAATCCTCCTCCTCTCTGTTCTATTTTGTTTGTTCCTTTCCTCTGCTCTTTCATCCTGTTACCGTGAGCCACGCCCTTTCTTTTGATGTCACCTCTTTCCCTTCCTTCCGTCAGCTCATCCATCCTTACATACAACCGGCCTACCCCTTCACTGGATACACACATTGTGTTGCATATGTAAGTGTAAAACTTCAGCACAAATATGACTGCAAAGAAAAATTATTAGCTAATCCTTTAAAGATAAATGCAAAATACTGAGTTAATATATACTCCAGTCTTATAAAAGAACAACAAACCACGAATGATGAGGATTTTACTCCGTAATGAGCAGTCCACGTCATTAACAAAATGCTAACAATCAACAGGTGAAAGAAAAACAGTACCTTAAACGGGAACCAGGGAATATTTTGCTCATATCTTGATAAAAATTCTAAGCAATTTAAAAATATAGGAACATTCACTCATTTGTGATGAAGTATGGTCACCCAAACTAATAGAGATATATCTGATGGCAAAACATCGAAATCCCCCCTCCCCCCACTGAAAGAGAAGTAACTCAGAAGCTCAGGGTCACGTTGCATCACTGCGTTACATTAGCAGGGAAAAAAGGCAGAGAGAAAACCAGTATGGAGTTGGAGAGACAAGATAAAATGCCGCTATAAGATCATATGATTTAGAAGTCCAAAAGATATGACAAATAACATAGGAACCAAGAAATTAGGTTGAGCTTGATGCATGAAGTTGATGTTTTTCTTCTAAGCCATAAATAATACATAAAAGAGTGACATATAAATGATTTTATTTCACATGCTCAACAAAACCTAACAATTAGCCAGGAATAAGAAAAAAATTTTTGTATACATATCATTTGCATATATATGTAATATTTACAAAGAAAGACATAGATAGATACACACATATGTCCCAATAACAAAGGATAAATAAACAGAATAAATGGAAAGATTTATTCAACTGGGGACAGGAAAGCATGCCTTTCTACCCTATCTAACTCTCTCCTGATTTTATTTTTATTTATGTATTTATTTATTTAGTTTTTGTCTTTTTGAGACAGGGTCTCGCTGTGCAGTTCAGGATGGCCTTGAGCTCGTTTTATAGCCCAGGCTGGTCTCGAACTCGCAATGCTCCTCCTGCCTCAGCCTCCCGAGTGCTGGGATTGCAAGCAAGCCCACCATGCCCAGCTTTTTCTCCCATGATTTTAATAATCAACACATCTCCTTATTAAATTCAGAGTTTTTATAGTAAGTTATGGTCTGCCAAGTCTATAATTCTGAATGCCATACAAGGCTGATCATCTGCAAAAGCAGCCTCAGAAATGCTGAAAAATGTGCCAAGAGAAATCAAAAGCCAAGTGTGTAAAGGTACTACAGTCAGAATATGAAAATCATAGCAGTTCTTAATGAGAAAAAATACTTATTAGGGTTTTAAAAATATCATGGCCTGAAGAAAAAAAGAGTGCATCAAAAATTTGTAAAAATAGTTAAGAAAACCCGGGGAAGAGACAAAATAAAATTGAATACGTCATCAAAATGAAGCAAAAATAAAATTGATGGCAAATTTAGTGGGAGGTACAGGAAAAAACCTCCAAAATAAAGTTCAAATTGAAAAGGTGATTGTCGCCGGTGGTAGTGACGATAAGAATAACTGTGAGATTACTGAAGCAATTCCCATGTTCTGATCTAATAACTGAATTATAGGGTGCCTCACACCCTCTATTTATTTTGTATCTATTGAGTGTTTTAGGCAGGCTCCTGGCCAGGAAAGCCACGGTGAAGCTCGCCAGGGCCAGGGACCCCAGGTATCCCAGCACACAGTAGAAGGCAGTGAGGGAGCCCTTGTTGCACATGATGAGGATGTGGCCATGTTCAGAGTGAGCGTCTGTGTCAATGTAGGGTGGATTTGTCCCCATCCAGACCCCACAGAGAGTGAGTTGGATGAGGGAGCAGATGGGGATGATGGAGTTAGGAGCCCCTGATACCAGCAACTGCCTCATCCTTCTGCTCGGGGCAGTGACCTTAAAGGCCAGCACCACAGTCATGGTTTTGGCCAAGACAGAGGAAACAGCCACAGTGAACACGACTGCAAATGAGGTCTGCTGCAGGATGCAGGTGGCTGTGCTGGGCCGGCCAATGAAGAGCAAGGAGCAGAGGAAGCAGCAGGTGAGGGAGACGAGCAGGGTGTAACTGAGAGCGCGGTTGTTGGCCTTGATGATGGGAGTGTCTCGGTGCTTCACAAAGAGCCCAAGGACAGCCGCTGTGAGGACGGTGAGACTCCGGCCTGTGCTAGCTAGTGTCTTCTCCAAGGGGTCTTCCTAAGCCAGAAAAGTCACAGCTGTTTGAAGGCAGCGATTTCTCTGAATTCCACTCACTGATGATCTGGACACTTCACGCACTGCTCTATAGCTAGTAAGGAACGGAAGCTCTTATCAGTCCAGATTCTAGAATATATGAAAAATTAAGTAAAAGACCCTCCCCAGAGTGAAAGACCAATTCAGTTCATGAGCAACTGCTCTGAATAGGCACTCCCCAGAAGAAGAAATCCAAATGGTCAATAACTACATTTTAAAATGTGCAACCTCTCTGGCCACTGGAGAAATGCCAATTACACTAACTGTGAGATTCTGTCTTACTCCAGAAAGAATGAATAGCATTGAGAAATCAAATAATAACAAATACTGGCGAGGCTGATGGGAGAAAGGAACTCTTCGACATTGCTAGTGAGAATTTAAGCTAATTCAACCAAAATGGAAATCAGTATGGAAATTTTTAAATACATTAAAATCAGGAATTCTGTTGGACCTGGCTGTTCCCCTACTAGGTATCTTCCCCCAAAAGGTTGAAAACATCACATTAGAATGATACACCCTTACCAGTACTTATAGCAGCACAATTCATAATATCAAACTCTTGCAACTGGGCTATGTGTTCAGGAAGAAATAAGCTGATAAACAAAAGGTGACATTAATAAATAATGGAACCCTTCTGTCTACAATAGGGATACATTTGCATCATTTGTAGGAAAACAGATGCACTTTGAAAATTATATTAAGTGAAATAAATCACACACATGCTGACCTGTTGTATGGTTTCTTTTATATGAGCAACGCTAAGTATAAATAAGGAGTAAAATAAACGATAGAGAAGTTGGAACAGGGAGATTTTTGGAGACGGTAACAGAGCCGAGAGAAGGAGGAGAGGAGGGAGGAGCAGGGGACACAGGAAGAAGGAAGATGTGTAGGTGCGTTGCCACCTGTCCACAGCGAGCGTGATCATTGTGTACCACAAACACGTACCACTGAACGTGGCCCAGGCTGTAACCCAGTGATGTGACCGAGTTCAGTTTCCAAAACAAAAATGAGGAGAATATCAAAACAGAAAAAGGAGGCAGAGCGTACTTTGAGGGACAGAGAGCTTTTGGAGAGGGTGTAATGCCGAGTAAAATTAAATTGCTAACTGAAGAAAAAGCACTTTTATCCTTGTTGAGCTCTGCAAGCATTTTGCCATTTCCTGGGTGCCTGGGGATGTGAATCGGGGCAGCAAATTTGTTTTAAGTTATGCCCCTACCAGCAGCATTGGCAATCTCACTTTCAGGACAAGGAATGGAATCAAAACAAGAGAGAGCCCTTCCGTCCTGAGGGGATTTCCTGAATCCAGGGCCACAACTCTCGTTGCACAAGCACTGGGGATGCTCAGGGAGATCAGACACGCACTGGTAACTTCTGTGAATTTTACCTCATTCTTCATAATTAGAGGGAGAAAATCAATGTCTTTACGTGCATAAATCTAGTTATGCAATAAGATGCCATATTTAAAGCATGACGGAATATCGGAGAACGTTTATAAAAATACGGTTAAGTAAATGAGTTCCTTTCCCATTCATCAGAATATTATTCAGTGGAAGAATTACATTGGAAGGTATGTTATTAAATTTTCATTTGTGGCCATTTCCTGAGCAAAACTAGGGGCAGAAATCCTACAAAAAGGTTGTGATTATTCATGGTCACTGATAAGCATTATGATTGTATACAACATACCTCTGCAATACCCCTGTCTCATATCCTCAAATAAAGATAACTCTTGATGATCAGGCGCATGCAAAGAAAATGCTCCAGCTTGAAATCTTTGGGCTCCTGGAAAATTCCAAACATTGAAAATGGCATATTCTGCATCCAGTTTCCTTTTTTCATCCAAATTCACTTGGTGTCCAGCAGGATTTGTTTTTCCCCCCTGCAGGATTTTTAAATTGAGTGTTCTTCAGACAAGGGTGCAGCTATAAAAGATACATTACCCTCTCATGAACGGGATCCCAAACTTAAGACAAAGAACATGACAGACAGAAGTTGCCTAAGTGTCTTCAATCTTAGTTTTATAAAGTATATTTAACATAGGAATGCGATGGAGTAGAAAAATAAAGCCTATGGCTGATTAAATATCATAGCGTTCCTAAAATGTCAATCCTTTTCAAGAAGAAATAGTTCAGTGAAACCCATATAAACAAACAGCGCACGTGGGTGTTAGCGAAATCTCAACTCTGGAGTCAGAACTTCCTACCTTTCTCTCCGATTGTTCCCACAGCACCCACATGCAAAAACAAATTATCGAAATCAAATGTTGTTGGTTAAACATACAGCAAAATTCATATAATGTGTAGCATAATTTAAGTACACTGAGAACTATAGTCTCCTCTCAGTCTTTGTATCAATGTTTCCTGGAGAAACAGATATAAGAAAGATATACAAATACATAAGAAGTTACAAGAGTGGCTTACACTGGCCACAAACAGAGTTGGGTGAGGAAGAGTGCAGAGGATGTCCATGCACTGGAGAGCGAAGGATTCAGTCGAAGGTCCGGAGCTTAGCGCAGTGTCCCTTGTGAGTCCATGTCAGTGGGTCTGCAATGGAAGGAGCAGACCTTATGCCAGAACGCTAGGGGATCTGATCAGAAGCTGAAGAGTCTGGGCTGGAAGCCAGGAGATGATGTCCAAGGTGAAGGGGAAGACGGGAGCTCCTCTGAAGAAACGAAGCAGCTCCATCCTTCTCCATGTCCCCTTTACACCATCCAGGTACAAGCCACACTAGGCTGGATCTCCACACCCTCGGGTATGGGTTAGCTGAGCTGAGTAAGTTTCTCTTACTCCGGTTGACATAGTCAGTCAACTGTCACATCTTTGAAGAACTTTATGAGAAAAGTCTAGGTTCTCCTTATTTGAGATATTAGGTTAGAAAGGCCGTTGACATCATTTACAATCAAAACAAAGACCATGGCTCATTTTATGTTCTCCTTACCAGAGGCTTGAAGACCTTGAGTCAATATTAATCTCTTCAACAATGACACTGGTACAGAATCTCACACTTTTGGAGAAAGGATACTAAACTCTGTGGTTCAAATACCTATGGAACCCCTGAGAAAGACTTAGACGGCAGTGCATAACTTCAAATGGAAGAGACGGTGGAAATACCAGCCCTCCCCCATTTCCCTCTGGTAGCGTTTGCGCCTGTTATAGGAGTATCCTGTGGAGGTCGTGGGCAGCAGTACACAGAGTGTCGCATGTGTATAACTCCCGTCACTCAGGCAGCTTCAAAACGAGTCACAGGCAGCCACGTCAGAGAGGCCATAGGCGTACAGTCGTTCAATGCGTGGTCAGAATTACAAAATGAGCAATGAAAATTTCCAGACCAATATGTAGCAAGTGGAGTGTCTTCTGGGTATTTGGAAGGACTAGAGCTTCCTGGGTAAAATCTTTGAAACCAGTAATCAGCTCATGGTGGTTTGAAAAAGTGAGACCCCTGTAGTGAATCAAGTATGACATTTCTTCCAGCCATGTTTGCACGCCGGTGTGAATCTGCCTCCCAGACTTTCCATGTCTCCAAATATTGTCCTACACCATGACTTACATCATTTGGACTCTCAGTATCATAGTGCACGGCAACCACACTTACCGGTAATTTTTTTATTGGTCAGGAAATCATGTCGCTATGAATGTAAGACACGATACAGCGTCATTTGAGAGCCTTTTCACAAAGGCTACACAGACTCTTCCTGTCCGTCTCTGCTCTCACATCTGCGAGAAACTGCAGACTTTCCCGACCTTTTGTGATGACCGGTCCCACCCAGGTCCAGCGGAAATGAAGCATCAAGGAGACCACGCGGAGGGGCAGAGATGTGTCCTTGGGGGCCACCTGAGAGACAGAAGGAAATTGGCCACCGTCACTCAACACATGTCAAAAAAGCCAAAGATAAGCTAAAAAGAAAATGAAATTGAAAAATGTCAGAGAGTAGATCTCAAGCATGGTGTTAGAACTGAAAGTACGAAGCAGCAGCTGAAAGGGGCCTCACGAGATGATGCTTCGTCTTGTCTCTGTAATCCCCTCAGTTCCTGAGGTTTTCAGAACCAGTAATACCCCATCTTACTCACAGCCCCCAGATCTTTGCTTCCCCCTCTCTCTCCTCTGTGCCGCAGGCCCCGGTGGGCGACCATCCCCGGCCTCATCACTCGCCCTTAGTGACTGCGCGCCATGAGACACGCGTGAATCCAGCCCCCTCTCACTGCCCTTCAGCGCCATGAGTGAGATGTGCTTTGTTTGTCTCCAGACCATCCATCCTCAGGTGTGGAAATAGCGGCCCAGTTTGAGAAGTCGCCTATCACGTTCCTGTTAGCACTGCTGTAGACCTGCTCTCCCCGCTACAGGTGTAATTCGGGGTTTCACCCTGTCCTGTGGGCAAAATGAGGGAACTCTCCAGTATCCCCCCGTGGCTGGGAAGGAAGCTATGGAAGTCATATACCAGAGTAGACCGCATATGCTGGGTAAAAGAAGAGGATTCCTGTTGATCTCATTTATGGTAAAAATGAAGGCTAGAAAGTCCTGGCAGCTGTTGGTAGCCTGCGTGAGGAGCCTCGATGTCCTCAGAGAAGACACACAATACGTGGTTATCTTCCAATGCAGCGCCATACCTTGTGTGAACTAAGTGTCTTCATTCTGTTCCCAAATATGATAAGACCCTAAGCCTCAATATGCCGTGTTGGAAGGGTGATCTGGGGGAGCTAATTAGGGTAGATGAGGTCATGGTGGCGGATTTCTCAGGAAGTGAGGTGACTACAGATGAGTGTCCTTTACAAGGGACCGGGAGACTCTCATTATTCTGCCGTGTGAGGAAGGACTGAGAACACTTCACTCATGGACTAGGATGCGGAGGCTCTCTTAATTTTCTTAAGCTCTCCACATGTTAAAAGTGAATAATTGTTATTTTAGATACCCAGATTGTGGTGCATTTTATAGAACACCCAGTAGAAAGACATTGTCCTGATTAAGAATAAACTACTAGGAAATATAACCTGTCTTTAAAAGAGCTAACTCTTTTAAGGCCTTAGAATGTATACCTAAAGGAAACCACATCGTTGAGACCCTTGGAGGCCCTTACTACTGGGTGCATGGAGGAAAAGGCCCACGTGTCCAAAGCAAAGTGTAAGGAACGGGGCGAAATAATTTGTGTTGTGTTTTGTAAATGGCCCTTTGTATCAAGCACTAAAATAACCACACAAATTGACCTATCATTCAATGCTTCACATTAAAACAATGGCATTCTCATGAAGTTGGAAATTCCAATGAGCAGGAATAACTATTTTGAAAGAGGGTTCTGGAGGAAGCAGAAAAACACGGCCTCTGTGGGAGAATCGCACAACAGAAGACTGGTGACCGACTCACTCATGCCTCCATGCCGTCAAAGTTATGCAGGCGCCATCATCAAAACCCAGGAGAATCCCCTCCGCTTCAGAAGTCCAGGAAAGGAGGAATCATTATGAAGGCAGGGACACATCGGATAAGCGTGAAGAATTGGTAGGACTGGAAGGAGACACAGTACTGTACATTTGAAGTTTTTCATCTTCTTAATTTAAAAATATAAAAATTATGTCAATGCAAAAATAAACGTTTCTTGGATTGTTTATTCCAGATAGCCCCATTCACTTCATTTTTCCTACAATAGAAACAAAGTCTCTCAGTCAAGGAAAATTTTACATTTCTCTCCCTTGATATCAGAAATTTCTGCAGGAACACAACACAGGGTTTCCTGTTGTCCATAATTATCCTATGTCTTAAATCTTTTTTTTGTCAGTACTGTAGACTGAGCCCAGGGTCTTCTCACTGTGCTACATGCTATCTCCGCAGCTTATTCTTAGGGTTTAATTTAAATCAGAGTCTTCCTGTGTCATTACATTTCCCATACTGGCCTTAACCTTGTGACCCTCCTGCCTCATCCTCCCCTAATGCTGTGATTATGGGTGTGCCCCATCACACCTGGCTAAGTGCTGCTTCTTGACCTATGGCCCAGTTCACATTCACTCCTTATTAACAATCCCTGCGTGCACGTAAAGAACGTGTATTCTTATTCTGCTGCAGTGGCACAGAGCAAACTCTGGGCCTTCCACGTGTCCAACAAGTGCTCTACCGCTGAGCTGCCCCGCAGACTACGGGCTCTTCTCGTATGGGATACAGACATCTGCATAACAACTGCAGCCTGCTCATTTAATTTTGAAATATTCTGTTAATGCACAGTGCTATTTTTTCTTTGAAACAGATTATTGTAATTTCTCAGTATAAAGCCATAATTTCCTATTTGTATTTCTTTTTTCCTTCCTGTTAACCTCCCTGTGTATCCTCCTCCTCCTCCTCCTCCTCCTCCTCCTCAGATTCTTCAGGTTTTTTCCTCTTTTTGAGTTGAGGCCACATTATCATAAGTTGTCAAAATTTGTAATATCACAATTAATCTTTTTGTGATAATTTGAACCTCCATACAGTTATAAATGGAGCATGCACTTACTTGTTCTTATTTCTAATGTATTTACATACCAGATTTGTTCTGGTTTGCATTTCTTTAGTAATATCTTCGTAATTGCAGTCATTTCATGTCTTTGAAGTTTTCCATATTTATTTGGCTTATGCATGTCTTTGGAAAATACAAGTTAATAAAATTTGTGATTTGCCCTTCAATTTGACAATCTATATTTAATCGAATAATTTATTCTACTTACATATTTGTGGCAATATACTCCCTTTTTCACACTAATTTATATTATGCTCTCTACTTTGAAAAACTCTTCTGGATTATTTTCTATGGCTTTTTTCATTTATTGGTTAGTACTTGCTTTTATAATTTCAAATGCAGTATTCCCTCTATTTGGGTGAGAGTGTCATCCTCCTACTCTATTTTATCATGTAAGAAAGAATTAAATAACTCATTTTGAACTGGACAGATATGCTTATCTCCTCAGCAATGCTTGGACTCTTGAACTTTTAGCTATCTTCTGTTAATGTTCTCTAGTTTCTACTTTTCCTGTACTGGGCCGTGATTCCTTTAGAATAAAAATTATGCTTCCTAGTCTATGTATGATACTAAATATAACAAATTAATACAAGGACAAATAGTCAGCAGATCCATTTACACAAAAAGATCAATCATAGATCCCTTAGACAAGATTGATAAATGGGAACAATTTTGGGAAAAGCAAACATTAACATTTGGCAGGAGAAAGAGACCATGAACAAACTTGCACAGGCAATTTTAAATCATCTAGTCCTGTCTTATACTAAATATTAAGAGTACTCAAAGTGACTGAAAAGAAATAAAGGTGAAATTACAGAGACATTCCTAGAGGGGTTCAATAGAGTTGTGAAGAATTAAATTTTACAACATAGAGTGAGCCCGAAAGGATGCACAGATTACTTGTTCCCAAAACTTAAGAATCGATACTCGTTAGAATCCATTTCTGATTGAAAGTTTAGGATAAAGTATTTCCTTAATGTTAGTTTTGAATATAACTAAAACAAATCCCCTGCCCACATCCATCCACGTGGAGAGCCAGGAGAGGTGGTTATGTGTTACTTTGGTTGATTTAATCCCTTGACAATATAAAATTGCTTCCCATAAAAATACAGTTGTTATTTACCAGCTAAAGATAAAATTAAGGAAAACCAAGCAAAACAAGAACCCTCTGAAGTCAAATCTTAGATCTTGCTTAACAGCAGTGAGTCCCAGCCAGTGTGGGGGAGGGACAGGTACGAAGTATAGCGTCAAACAGGCTGAATTCCACAGAAGATCGAAGGACTCTATTTAGGGCAAACAGAGTTTATTAATTTTAGACCGGTCCCTGCACATCCCTGACTAGCAGGGACATCAGGAACGTGGAGCCCCTGTCTGCCTTTGTTTCCATCTTATATACCTTTTTTGGTTTCCATGGTAACAGACTGGAATGTTGTAGCCCTGGCCACACATTGTTTTCCTTGTGCCACGTGACTGGCTCAGGCCCGGGTCGTGAGCCCAACCACAATGATATATACTTTCTGTACTCTGTTCTATATGTCCCCCTTTAGATAACCACACATTTCCTTTATGGTTACAGTGTTTATCTAGGGCCAGGGAAAGGATGAAACAACCCAGGCAGGGTCATAGGTGGTTATCTGGGCCCTGGTGTTCTTTGTCTTTGGAGAAGCACTCCAGGGCTACGTCAGGACTGCAAATTTAACTTTTTACAACCCCTCCGGGATGTTTCTCAAGACGCATTTTGAGGCTTGTACTAAAGACTATTCTATCTTAAAAATGATATGTTAAGAGCCTCCGTCCCCCATAGAAGGTCACCCTCCACCCAGCACATGGCCCTGGGAACTACTCTCTCCCCCTCTTATGGATCTGATATTAAGACTACAATAAACCACAGCGCTGATGCTCTGTGATCTCCTTTGTATGCTTTGAGATGCAGCAACATAAGCCATGCGTCAGGCAAGTCCCCAGTAAAAGAGGAAGCAAGGGCATTTTCTTTTTCTGTTAGCACCACCATTGCTTATCATTATTCTAGAGTTCCTCAGCAGTAAAATAAGCATTCAGTAACACAGCATGGGAGAAAGAACTGTAGGGAGAAGCAGGCATTACCGTGTCACCAATGATGAAATTATTCATCTCGGAAACCCATCCAATATCATCCTGATTATAGAAACAAGGAAAGTAGAAACCAATTAGAAAATTAGAAACATCCAAAATTTGTAAGAATAAACTTATGCTAGCCTTACAGAATATAAATATGGATGCATTGATAGGGCAGAATAGAAAAAAAGAGAAATTTTATATATATATTCAAGTTTGTGTTCCCCAAAGTGAAAGAATGAATTCTGAGGGACAACAGAGGTTAAGCGTATGAAAATTTACTGGGGAATAGGAATAGCTCCCGAGAGACAGGAGGGGTCCTGAGTGGGTTGCTGCGGACCCCAGCAATTTACAGAGAAAATTTTATAGAGCAAAATCACGAGGTGGGAGCAAAATTGTGAGGTAGGTACAACGTGGGATAAAACCACGATCAACCAATAAGATTACAAGTTCAGCCACTTGGGCAATGTGGATGTAATGGGGAAGCAGGTCACATAGCAAGCGTACCTGGCAAGTACGCTCTTCCCTAGGAATCAGGGGTCCCAGTCACACACTGGGGAAACCGATACTATTGTTAATGTATTGACTGTCTCTCCGCGAGGTGCCTAGACCTGCTCGTTTTGTCTCCGTCTTGAGGCCTGCTTTCCCGTGGATCTGCCTCCCGCGTCAGTTGCAATGTGTCTTCATCTTTTGCACTGACTCCCTCAGGGCCAGCCCTGTCTGACTGCCTACACTATTTTTACCTAACTTAGCTGTGTGTGATAATAGGGTATTACATGAGAAAAATAGGATGGAGGTAAAGATGTAGCAATGATAATAATCACACATTTGTAGTGTGCAAAAACTTCCAGGATATTTTCAAGGCCATGTTATAATTATTGGGGCCACTGCATTTGTGCACGCATGGGCCACGTTCTCCTGTAAAATATTCACATTAAATTTTGCAATATAATTGAGCTAGAAAATTGTCAATTATATAAATATACATAAACGTTTTTCTTTTCTAAAAATATTTTAGTTTTCCTTCTGATCTGAGGAGAAATTAGAATACTCTCCTGAGCCCCTGAATCTTATTCCTAGAGAGTAAGTCAGCGTAGACATTAGAGCTTCTGGAATTTTGTTGGTCTTTCCAGTCACAGATAGGTTCTGCACTGCGTGGGGCTTGCAAACGGACAGCCGCCCCCGCGGACAGGTCCCCTGAGCGCTGGGAGTGGACTGGAGAGGACGTGAGGAGGAGCAGGCGGGTTCTCCTCTCTCCCCAGGACCTGACGGGAGCTCCCTACAGCACCCTGGACATGGCCTTGATCTATCACGTTTGACACCTACTTTGTGTCTGATCACTCGGGCTGCTTCAGCTAGAGTCCTCGCATGCTGGTTCACCCAGAAGCCCTCGTCACTCTGGTCGTCTCTCGGCAGTGTTCCACCCCGTGTCCTCCATCTGCCCTCTGACTGGGAGCTCCTTCGAGCTCACGCAGCATGCGGTCTGCCCGAGTCCCTCTCCTCCAACGGGGAGCTCCACCGTGACGTTCCTCTGCTGACCGTCACTCCCTGGTCAGGCAGACTCTCAGCACATTCCACGATC